AGGCATCAGCAGAGGATCATGCATACTGGGAGCCTCCTGACCAGAACCAACCAGCCCTGTGACACTGGGCACTGCTGTACCATTACTCCCCAGTAACTCCACAGCCTTCATGCAAAGGTTGCAGCCAGGCGAGCCCACTTCTCTGCAGTCCTGATGGGTCATGCTCAGTTATTCACCTTGCCTGGGTGCTGGAGCTGTGCAAGAGCCAGCAAAATGCTGGGGCTTCCAGAAAGCTTCTTCAGAGTGTCCATGCCACTCAGCTTAAGGGCCCCTTTGCTAGGAGCTGGCCTGGGGTGGCTTCTGTAGCTAACAGTGGCTGGTGATCTTAGCCACTGATTGCAGAGGCAATGCTGAGTAATTGTAAAAATAGCTGCAGTGAGAATGCCTGTTCCAAGTACATTTTCCCCCTCTTTTTTTTATCATCCTCCCAGAAGCAGAAGCTGTTGCTGCTCCCTCCAGCAGCTTTCCCAAGGCCACAGCCTGAATGAACAACCTGAATGAATGTAAAGTGGGTTTATGCTAGTTGTGCCAGACTGGGTGCCTGGATCCCAGAGCAGAGCAAGGGAGAGGTGCAGGGGGAGGCAGGACATGCTCCTGCTTTCTGCATCTTGTCCTGTGCTGCCTATCTATGAGCTTATGTCGTTGTTCATGGCACAGAGGAACTCCTAAGCAGTGGCCCTCAAAGGGCTGCCGCTTTGGTCAAATTCCCAGGTGAGATCCCAAGAGCTTCTGCCTCACTCTCACTCCTGGCCAGTCCCACTGACTTCTGAAGTCTTGGCAGCTGCTCCCTGCTTGGGGCACACTGCTTGCCCTGCATCAGCAGACACAACTGTTGCATATCCCTTGCTGCCTGATTGCCCTTCTCGGCCTGGGGTTTCCTGGTTCCCACTTCCCTTCCACCAACCAGCTTTGCCACAGGAGCTGGTGGATGCAGCTCCTGTGGGTCCCTCATGCCTCTGCTGGCCTTGCCTGCCCTGCTCATCTTGCAGATGGTCTTCAAATCTCCAGTCCTCCACACACACCCCACACTGAGTTCTGCATGCTGTCTGTTTTTCCAGGTAGCGGAGAATAGCCATTCTCTGGGCATGCAAAGTGTGTCCCCTGGCTAGGCCTCTGCTGAGGCCTGGTTTTCCTTATCCAGTTATCAATCAGGAATGATTTTAATAGAATCACTGGCTTCCTTTACATGTCTCCTTGACCTTGGGTTTTGGCTAGCTATAGCCATCTTGTTTTGGCAATCACTGGAGCATCTCTGCAAATGCAGGCCCCTCCTGTGAAAGCAGACAGCTAGTGTGCATGAACTTCACAGAAAAAAAAATTCTTTATTCACTGGATTCACTATCACTTGCTTCTAGGTCCTTCTCAGAAACGTCTTTGTCAGAGTCATTCCCCTCTGAGTTGTCTTCTTCATTTTCACATGGATTCTCCATGCTCTGCTCCTCAATCTCAGGTACTGCTACAATGACAGGCACCCTGCCCACCAAGGCAGATTTGGTACAAGGAAGTTTAGAAGTTCCTACCAGCTCATACCTGAATGACATGATTTCATTTTCCATGCGCGTGCTGGTGATGGGCAGTGGCTTTGGCAGAACCAGTGTACCGGTGACTCGCATGACCTGGAAGGGGCCTGTGTTTGTTTGGGACTCCAGCCTCGTCACCTCACTTCGGTCTTCCAAGGAACGTTGTTCTCCTCGGTTGTTGACACCCTTGTACAGTACAATGCAGTGCACCGCGAAAACTACCTTTCTGATATACTTGCATGTCCTGTTGGAGATATCTGTCACAAAGACAATGGGATCACCAGGGGAAAATGTGTTTTTCTCCAGGTAAATCCGAAGGATCACAGAACCACGACTGAAGCAACAGAGGTAAACGGCATCCTTCCTAGTTTCCACCACCAATGGATCCTATACAGAGGTGGGAGAGAAAGGCAAAGCCCGGTGAGTTTTTGGTGCTGGATATAGGCTGAGCCCCTAGCACTGCATGCAGAATTTCCCAATATCACAGCTGAGGCTGTTCAACCTTCCCAGTGGGCCCTCCTGTCCACATGGAACAGAGTCTTCATTGCTGCGTGGAATACGACATGGCTGAACTGTCCTGAACATCTGGACAATGATACACATGTGCTCACAGAAACCTCATCACCTTTAACCATCCATGCCTAAATTTAGAGGGAGGCCACAAAATGGTTAAAATCAGGATGCTCTAGCTGTCTTAATGGTTAATGACTGACTGTGCCAGTTTAGGTAGACCAAAAGTGCCTACGTGTAAAAGAGACTTTCTATTTGGTGTGGAAGTTGCTTTAGGGCTTAGACTTCAGAGTAGGAGAATAACCTCCACTTTCCCCATCCTGGATCTTAAGGCACTCCCCACATTTTACTTTTGAATTTTTACAATGCATCTTATGTCCTAATAAAGAAACATCCCGGTGCAAGCCCTAGGACAAAGACTGAAGAACATATTGAAGGTGTCACTTGAATGCTAAAAGGAGAAGAAGGTCCAGCCAGAACTAAAGATTCATGCACACTCCGTGGTACAAAGTAAAGCCTCTGAAGTGAAAGAGGCAGTAGCTTTGTGTGTCCCCACCTCAGGTTTGTTCTCCTTACCATGTTGTTCATATCTGCTCCACAATTGCCAAAGGTTCCTTGCAGCAGTAAATTTCTCTTCTCTTTAGCTAACACAATTTCACGGCCGCTGCAAGTTCCTTGAATAAAATATGAGATGAAGCCAATTTTGCTGGTGAATGTCGAGGGAAGGCCCGGAGGAAAGCTGAAGTAGAAGTCAAAGGTATGGACCCCAGAATCGAGCCAGCCATCTGAAAGCCAGACATCACCATGTTAATAGGAGCCTGTTAAACACTCAGGGTGTTTGTGCCTTCTCACTGGCAACCACAGCTGTGCACCTGATCTGAGTGTTTGGTCCAGCATTTTCTTTCACCTGTGCAAAACAGCCCATGTACAATAAAAACATTTGGCCCTTCCTCTGCACAACTGTGAGTCCATTTCTCCTAAGGAAATTCAATTCAAACTCAATTTTATGTGGGCAAGGTCCCACGGCCTGTAATGAAACATTGCCCCCACTACGGAGGGACAAACACAGCCCCTTTGTCCACATCAGACCAGCTCTTGACTCTTCATCCCCAAGTTTTACTTTTGTCACATGCATCTGCCAGCACTTTTATTGTCAAAACTTGGGCTTTCTTCTAATACCTTATGCCAAAACTTTCTTTGAGCAGTATCGCTAGGCGATGTAACACTTTCTGACTTCTGTCCTGCTAACTTCATCCCTTTGCAGATGAATTCTACAATGTCTCAAGTTTTAATAACCTAAAAATGCCTGCTGGCAGGAGAGCCTGGGTATTGTTTCCTCGCAGTGTGGGGGAATTACCAGCTGGCGTAACAGTGTTTTCAATCAATTGAGATTGTAACTCTGAAGAGAAGAAATGCCTAAAACAATCTGATAGGGAAGAAACGAAAATTCATCAGCCTCTTGGATAGCTGCAATATAAGAAAGTCATGTTCTTTAATCTGACAGTTTGTAGAAACCTGAAACTCTCAGGGCCTTATCTCACTTATACCAAGTTCATTTTGGCAATGTTCTTGTTTTAATAGAAGAAAAGACTTTAAAGTGGGAGCAGACTTCAAAGTGGGAGCAAATACACAATTTTGTCTTGAGAGAAACAAGTGTTCCCCTTCTGGAATGATCTGGGCCTGGGTCCTGTGGCGACTGGTCTGTCTTGTGGCCCCAGCTGGAAGGGGTGTAGGATGCAGTGTAGGTTTTGCAGTGTGTGGATTGACTAAAAAGTTCAGTTTTCTCCATCTCTGCTGCAGTATGACCTTAAGAGCTTACCTGTGTGCACAGAGCTGAAGTGGGTTAGCCTTTAAATGGAGGAAAAGTGCTTATAGGTACTTATTCCAATTTACTTTAAGCATGTTTTCTCTGACTTATTTTACATCACTTCTAAAACGACTCTTGAAAAACTGCACTTCACCTCCTGCATCAGTTTTCAGACTAAGAATGATGGCCTAAGAATGATGGTGGCCTTAATCAGTGTTACTGAGTTCATTTTGGAAGTGGAGGTGCGCTCACCTGCCTTGTCTTCCGGTTGCTGGGGGACACGTGTCCCATTTCCCAGGAGAACCAGCCCCTCCGTGGCCTCACAAAACTTTGTCCTCCTGAACCATATGAGGGGCTTAGCTCCAAGATGATGGTTGTGGCTGTGAGAAAGTGTGAATAGGTTGCTGGAGGGATGACCTTTCTGTGAAGGACACAACAGGTTTGCTGGGGCGTGACAGACATTACAGAGCAGGGCATGAAGTGGTCTGGGCTAGTTCGCTCTGACCAGAGGTTGCTGCTACTGCTGAGGACAGTTACTGGTGGCAGTGTAACTTGGCTCTGACAAACCTAGAGATGTTACTAGTCATATTCAGCAATGGGCTGGAAGTCACTGCCTTGGGCAATTTTTATCTCAGAGAGATATTATTGAATTCCGTATATTGTGATATATTGTGACAGGAGTTATGTCTGTTAGGCATCCAGATCCAGGTGTACTCATTTCTCACAGAGGCGTAACATGGGACCTAAGAAGGGCATGGGACCTAAGAAGGTAAAATACCATGCAGGAAGGTGCTATCAAGCAAACAAATGTCAAAAGCTGACACATGCAACAACCTATTCAAATATACATTCTCATATGCCAACTTCAGTGGGGAGCCCGGAGTACTCAGGGCAAGAAGGGTCATGTCTATATCTTTTATATTTTAATAAGGTTTCTTGGACTTGTGAGAGCACTTTTGTAGAGTGTTATGCTGGGGAAAAAAAGAAAAAAGAAAGAAAAGGAGATATTACAGAGCCGTAACATCAGTTTGTCTATAGGAAGAGTTTGCAGACTGCAGTAGGTCAAGACTAATACTGTAATGCATGTGAATGAAAGGCAAAAATGACCTTTGGACAAGTCAGAGCCTTCAAGTCTGTGAGGAAACGAAGGCTGACCACTGCCGAATGGAGCTTGAAGGCAGCTTTTGTGCACTGGCATGCCGTCTAACTTCAGTACTAATCTAAACAAGGGTGATGACTTTCAGCCTGTGATCTGCAGACTAGATCTCCAAGATTCCCCACAGGTCCTAAGAAAGGAAGGGCGAGGAAGGAAAGTGTGCCTTTTTGGAGACCTCCACCTGCTATTGCAGTCCTTGGAGTAATTCACTGGTCTGCAAGTAAATACGTTTTAGGTCATATAGCCCACTGACTTTATTCTTCATAAAAATCTGTAAGTTTTAATGGCTAGCTCTGTGTTTATATGTGTGCATGCTGGGGCGCGTATCTCACTGAAAACATCATAGACCAGTGCATGCCTCAGATATTTTTTTGTCTCCCAGTAAAGATACATGAGTAACCTTAACTGTAACCCCTTACTGTATTTGCAAATATAAAAGAGCGTGTATCACTAGTGGCATATGAGGCAATAAAAAAGGCAGGTAAGGATTTAGATGACTGAGGGGTGCTTTAGTAATGTGTTTGTGACTAGAGGTTTTCTACATGCTGCTGAGCAGGTCATGGTAGCTTTCTCTGCAATGACTGTTCACTTCAGCCACAGCCCTTGGGGGGCTTCTCATGCTCTGAAATACTACATCCCCTACCAAAATCTTGCAGTTCAACCCGAGGACCCTGCTGTTGTATAAAGCAGTGAAAGGGAACACATCACACAAGAAACAGAGCACATGGACATTGGCACAAAGAAGACTTCCTTCACACTGGTCTGATCCCGTCTTCATTAACCCGACACTAAGAAGCTGTTATTACATTAACTGGTGCCTGAATCTTACCGTTTATATGGAAATTCTGTGCTTTGGAGATGAAGACAGCCTGGTTCCTGCACATAGTGCTCCTGCTATAGTCCAGTTGGGGGTTATCTTCCTCCTTCCACTCCAGGTAGCCTCTTCCCACCAGCTCCACCTTCACCACGGGGTCCACCAGGGTGCTCCTAAGCTTCAGAACCAGTTGGCCAGCTATGCTGGAGCCTGCCAGGTACACCTCGTCCTTGGGCAGCAACAGCTTAATTGATATCACAGTTGACATGAGGGATGAGTAGGAGCCAGGCTCTGCTGGGGCCCCGGGGATGCTTCCGTGACGTCGGGGTTTGTGAGGTCACAGCGAGAACCATGGCCCATCCCAATCCAAGAAACCTGTCTGTTCATTACCAGTGCTTAATTAATGAGAAATCAGTGAGTTTCATGTTTAGGATCCCTATGGGCAATGCAACAGCTAAACCCTCAGACTTGCTGGTTAGAGTACACCCCATAAGCCACATGACACCCCAGGCCATGGGTGTCTGTATTGCACGCCGTCAGTTCCAGTGGACTAATTGGATTCAGGCTGCTCACGGTGTCCAGCAGTGCTGGGGGGTTGCTTCTGGCAGTGCCAGCCCTGGTTTGGGGGGCTGCTATGTTCCCTCCCCCTTTTCTCTTCCAATTTTGGCCCCTGTCATACTCGCGCATTTCTTTTGGGTTTGTTTCCAGGATGAGACTTTCTCTCAGAAGTCTCTTGGTAATGTCCTAGCTGCTATTCAATTCAGTTGATGGCCACCTTAAGCAAACTTCACCATTGCTACTTTTCAGGTGTTTTCCACCTGAATTTGAAGTCAAACTTCTTCACTGTGATGGTGACAGAGCACTGGGATAGGTCATCCAGAGAAGTTGTGGAGTCTCCTTCTCTGGAGATCTGTAAAATCCACCTAGCTGTGACCCTGTGCCACGTGCTCTGGGTGTCCCTGCTTGAGCAGAAGGGCTGGATTAGATGATCTCTAGAGGTCCCTGCCAACCTCAATCACCCTGTGATTCTGTGATTATCTGTTTTTGGCAACCACCATGTCCAAAAGCACAGTTTTGGGTACTGTGTTCACATACACTATGTACTTGCTATCATCTCAGCTCTTGTTTTCTGGGCACACTACCAAGACGGGGCCATGCAAACTCGCCCACAGCAAACTACTAGTCATGGGCGGCAAATGTGGCTGATGCTGCCAGCATAAGGATGCCCTAAGGGTGCTTTAAGTAGACTGGAACAAATACCAGTGAGATCTGAGCGCAGCAGGACAAGCAACCTGCCACGACATCACCCCTCTGGACAGCAAGGTCCTGCAGTTCTGCTGGGGCCATGGGCTTTCATCCATCAATACAGCATGGTTGGCAAGATTTTGCTACAGCATAGTAACTTTGCCCATGGCTAAAGACAAATGACAGAGCTGAGGCTCAGCCTGCTTTGTCTCCTGCTCTTAGTCCTATCAGAGCAATTCCAGGCAGCAAAGCTGTTGCAACCGTGTTGTCCCACCAAGGTGTCCCACCACATTCCTTCATATTCGTCACAAATAAATAAACAAACACATAAATAAAAACACATTCCTTCAAATACACAAATAAATAAACAAACACATAAATAAATAAAACCCCACCAAAACCACTGTGAGTGTGATCAGAGCTTGTCCTCAGGTGTCTTTGGCACTTGGATCGAATAGGTGCACTATGCTCTAGCCCACATCAGTGTGGGACAGGAAGGAAAAGGATCCAGCACAGGAGATCAGAGACACATGCTCTGCCTGGAGGAGCCGGGATAAAGATAACCCCAGCGGGCCCTGCAGCGAGGATCACATTTGCTGCTGGTGCCAGCAGACATCTGTGAGCCACTGATGAGCTGAGAGCCCAGAGTAAAAGTGCTGGCACCGGCTCCACAGAACCCGATTAAAGATACAATGTTCTCAGCTGCAAGCTGGAGGATGTGGGCACATGGCGAGAAATGCTGAAAATTAACTGAACAAGGCAGCCAACAGTTTAGGAAACAAGTCACACCACGTTGAACTTCAGATGTTCCCTCCTCCATACTAATTAGTCACTTGCTCCAGCTCTGTCAGGATTCTCCTTCACTGCCTCCGTACTTTATCCTTGCTTACCGTGTTGTTTTCTTAAGAAAAAAAGAGAATTGAATTAACATGCTGGCTGCAAACTGTCACTCAGTCTCGCTTCTTGGCTGCTGTGTCTCTTTCTGTGAGCCTGTGCTTGTCTTGCCTTATTAAAAAAAATGCTCCTTCAGAAAGAACTGTTCAGTGCCCTGGGTTGTAGTGGATAGGAACAAACAACAACAGTTTCTCAATTGGGCCCAGAATAACCAATAACAAAAAATATCCTTTTTCTTATTTACACTTGGAAGTTTTCCGAAGTCACTGCCTTGCACACAAGTTGCGTGGTTATAGGTGGAAAAAAATAGCTCATAGCTACTCGCATGAGTGCTGATATATCGTCAAGTAAAATATTATAATCATGGATTATATATGAATTGAATACTAAAGTCCCAAGTTTTGGTGTTCAGGCACTGATTTATGCTTTACGAAAATAGCTTATAGCTATGATCTCCATGCTACCAGTACACCAACCCAATATTTCATCTCAATCTGTACATCTCCTGAGAATTTTAACTGCAATTTGAGTCTGCAATCAGCCAGGAAAGGAAGAAGCATTGCTTTTAAGTCACAGTTTGTTCTCTTTTCTTAACTTCGATTTCTGTTTCAAAGTTAGACAAGCCAAAATGAGTTGTGCAAATGTTGCACCTTTGCATCTTGTGACCTCTCTGACAAAATGATCTTTAAATTCCCTTTCCACAAGAAATGTATAGTACACTTTTAACAAACGCCAACTTCAAATGATACAGTGAAGAACATTATATTCTGTCTTTGCCTATGTTGATATGTGGTAACATTGATTTTGTGCTTTCAATCAAAATCAGCTAAAATAGAAACCTTTGTCTGAATTGTCTGCACTTCAGAAGTTACAAATAGAAGGATTGTGGATCCATGGTTTGATATACTTATTTTTGCAAAACAAAACCTGACTTCCATAGCCCCTTTTCATTTATTTAAGAAGTTGTGTGCAGTCTTATTGTGTTTCATAGGCATGTCCAGTCATCAAACACTGTCATTTTTTGCTGTGACATTCATTGGTTTCCATTCTCTGAGACTCACATGGATAATGCTTTAGATTTGAGCTTCCTTATTGGTTTCCCTTTAAAAATTTGAGGCTGAAAATTCAAAGAAGGGAAACAAGGAAACAAATCCTTGAGCTCCTAGTGTTGTACTTTGATAAAACACATATCATTACATCAATGAGGGTCCAGAGCGACAGGGCTCAGTCCACAAGGCTCATAGACCCTCTGGGTCATGACAGCTCCTCGAGATCTCCGTGTCTGCAGGAGCTTGCTGTGGTAAAGCACAGGCAAGACCCAGTCTGGGGGTTAGTGATGGGACTGTTTTGCACCAACAGAAAATTGAATATGAAAGTGTCCCACAGACACTCATTAGTATGCTGCTGCTTTCCACTGGAATATGAAGGGCCTGCATTTGCACACAAATTCCCTTTGTGATTTGAGTGAATTGAGCTGCCTTGGTAGCTCTCCCGATAGTGACATGTGGAAAATGGAGTACCTGCATTTGAATTTTAAATTTCTTGTATTACTGGGGAATTAGGCCCTACTGATAGCAAAGAGTCCCTTAGATGATACTAAATGCTAGCATTGGCTTTCTCAAAGCTAAGTTTTTAAGATGTTTGTCTCATAGCCAATGACATAGCTATGAAGAAATAGAGTATCCATAAGCTCAGCTCACAAATACAAAGGTTTTACTAGAGATTATGAATTGGGCAAAAAGAATCCAGTCTCTCTTTGCCAAGCAGTCATTCTCTATGGGAAAATACTGTAATAAACACTGTGAGTGGGATGATCAACCTGAACTAAGGGGATAATTCCTCTTTGGCATTCCCATGCAATGACTGATTCGCTTGGCAATCACAAGGTTCAATTATCTTTTAATATTCTTTTATTATTATTATTATGATATATTAGGTACATATATAATCAACATCACTAGTAATGTTTTGAATTGTATCTGTGAAAGCGTGACAAAAAGAAGCTTTCTTCAATTCTCTTCTAACTTTTAAGATATTTTATTTGTATCAGTGTTAGTTCTACCTATCTCCAATATTAAGATAATTATTTTAACATGTTCCATGATATCCACGGAGCTGAAAAACACTCCTCTTGCCAGCTGATTCTGTACCAACATGTGCCGCAACAGATTTAAAGAGATGTGTCTTATAGTCACAAAGGGGCACCAATTTCATCCAAAGATATGAAAGTGCAGTTGCTGGGTTTTGACATCTTTTTTTGCGGGCATCAGCGGAAGTCAGACTGGCTGCAAATTCAGACCACCTCTTTCGTTCCTTGGCTAATGTTAACTTTTAGTGGCTCATTCAAAGGTAAGATACATTTTAGAAATTTATAGACATACTTGGCCAGTGATGGGGGTTAAAGAAATACAGCAGAGCCGGCAAGACTTTAAAGCTCCACCATGATAGGATCTTACCTGGAGAAAGTGCTGCAAAGCTGTCAATAACTGCTGGTAAATTGTAGAGCTTGAAATAGGGAAAACATGTTTTCTCCCTGACGCAGTGGCACAAAGGCTTGGTTGAAGCCCTTGCCTGGCCTATCCATCTGGTTGATGTAAGAAGTGAGATATCGATTTTTCTTATGATCAGAAACTTAGAGGAGCCACAAAGCTAACAAGCAACACAATTTATTACACTCTAAGTGAGATGCTGGAAAATTTTTGCTAAAACACATATTCCTATTTAGCAAATGTGATTTAAATTGTGGTACTAACCTATAGAACACATACTACTAGGTTTGATAGTGATGACAACTGATATAGCTAGGAAGTGACTTGCATGCTCTGGTTTTCCTTGTTATGGATAATCTGTTCACCAAAAAGAAAGAAAAATCATTCGTAAATCTGTAAATCTGAGTCACAACCACTCCACAAAGTTAGAAGCAGTTGCCGCTCATTTCAAGAGACTGCATGCATTACTTTTGCTTAAATTATAACTCATTTCACTTGCAAGAAATGAAGACCGTAATGTAAAACACCATAAGGGCTTTAATTCTTTCAGCTCAAAATCACTTCCCTGCAATAGTTAAAACACAGTATTCAACATCATTAGCAAGTTTGGGTTACTTTATGCCTGCTAAAGAGACACAGT